TCTTGCAGAAGACCCAGGTTCGAATCCCAGCACCCACATGGCAGCTAACAACTGTCTGTAACTCCAATCCCAGGGGATCTGACAGCCTCTCCTGACCTCTGCAGGCATTTACTTACCTACATTCAGGTAATACATGCATACACATAAAATAAAAGAAAAATAATAAAATCAAAAGAAAAAAAAAGCTGGAACCAAGAAAAAGGCAGAAGCAGGCAGGGCTGGGGATGTAGCTCAGTTGGCCCAAAATTTATGAAGTCCCGAGTCTCATCTACCCTGACCTCTGCAGGCATTTACTTACCTACATTCAGGTAATACATGCATACACATAAAATAAAAGAAAAATAATAAAATTAAAAGAAAAAAAAAGCTGGAACCAAGAAAAAGGCAGAAGCAGGCAGGGCTGGGGATGTAGCTCAGTTGGCCCAAAATTTATGAAGTCCCGAGTCTCATCTACAGCACCAGATACATTAAGCATGATTGTGCATGCTTGTAATTCTAGCACTAGAGAGGTTAAGGCAGGAGGATCAGAAGTTCAAGGTCATCTCCAGTTACACAGTGAGTCTGAGGCCAGTCTCAGATACATGAGACCCTGTTGCTCCTGCAAACTAACTCAAGAAAGAGAGAGAGAGAGAGGGAGAGAGAGAGAGAGAGAGAGAGAGAGAGAGAGAGAGACTTATGGGCTATTTTGGCAAGTGGCATTAAAAGGGAAAGGAAGAAGGGATGGGGAAAGGAGGGAGGGAGGAAGGAAGGAAGAGAAAGAAGGAAAGATAGAGAAAAAGACTGCAGAGCAGAAGCAACAAGATTGAGGAAGAGCTACCCATAATGTACCTAACCCTCGGCTCCATGAGCAACACTACCAGGGAAATATTAGAGTTTCCTTGCTATTCAGCTTATGAATTGTATTGTGATGGTAGTGTAGCAGCAAGCACAGTGTGACCTTCAGTCTACTCTTTTATTGTGGAAGTAACACATGATTGATAGGCAATCTTTAGGAAACAGAGAAAACTTAGTTACAGAATGAAACTAAACAAAAACACTCCAACTGCACTGCTCACAAAATGAAAGTTCTTAACATGTTGGCATATTTGGACTTTATTTTCTAGCCACTGGGGTTTGTTCCTTTCTGAGGAAAAAAAATAGGCTATATATATATATATATTTATTTATTTGGTCTTTTTGAGACATGGTCTCCCTGTAGCCCCAGTTGGCCTATGTAGATCATGAACTCACAGAGAACCACCTGCTTCTGCCTCTGGAGTGCTGGGATTAAAAGTGTGTGCTACCACGCCTGGCACTGATATTTATTTTTCAACCTGACTACAAGTACTTTGTATATGGACATTGTAGTGTTAGGTTTTCATTACTTGAGGTGTTTTTCATGTTCTAAGATTAGGATCTTTAGAAATACCATTTTTATTGTCTAGATGAGATCTTATCAAATGATATGTACCATAATTTACTAACATCTTCTCTTGTCAGGCACTTAAGCCATTTCTAGTTTTTCATTATTAGTAAAAAACACCATGAGCTTGGCATGGTGGTCCAGGCTGTAATCCCAGTACTTGGGAGATGGAAGGAAGAGGACCAGTTCAAGGTCCTCCTTAGCTACATAAATAGTTCAAAACCACCCTAGGTTACATGGGACTGAATCTCACAAAACTAAAAACAAGGCCTAGCATGTTTTTAATCCCAGCACTAGGGAGGCAGAGGCAGGTGGATGTGAGTTCAAGGCCAGTCTGGTCTACATAGCAAGTTCCAGGCCCGCCAAGGCTATATAGTGAGATCCTGTGTTAATAAAACAAACAAAACTAAAAGCAAACCAAACAAACAAACAAAAACTGTAATAGACATCTCAAAGAATAAAAGTGAGAGGTGTTTAAGACTGATTGCTTGGGGACAGATGAATAGAAGAGGAATTACTGAGTCAAAGAGTTTAAGTGGTTTCGAAGCCCTTGACGTGTATTTTTTAATGACTTTCTGGAAATTTTAGCCAATTTTTACTCTTTCTAGGAAAGTATGAAAATGCCCATTTTGCCCTTTCCTGGTTAATACTGGAATATTTAATTTGTTGTTGTTTTGTTTTTATGAGACGGTCTCACAATGTAGTCCCAGCTGGCCTGGAACTCACAGAAATCCACCTTCTCTGCCTCCTGAGTGCTGGGATATATTGCACCACCATACCTGGCTTCCTGAATTTTCTAAAATTCAGGAATGATACTTTATAGGATGATACTGTAGCATTTTAGTCCTCATCACTGAGTTCAAATCTGGTGGATATTGTCTAACTCTTCTTTCAAGTGACTCCCCTGTGACCTTCCCTCAGTCTTCCCTATCATCACTACCCAGACTATTGTTCTGCGCACTAATGTTTGACCTTGAATCCATTGTCTCACTTATTGATACTATTTATTTTTGGTATTTAGTTTTTAAATTTTGATGGCTTCTCTTTTGATATCAAAATATTTAAAATTTTAAACAGCTAAATGTATCGATCATTTTAAGATTTTTTTTCTCTTTTCTAAACATAGAAAGTCCTTCCCTCTCAGAAGATAATATTTTACTAAAGTGCATTTGCTTTGTTTGTTTTGAGATGAAGTTTCTTGTATTCCAGGCTAGCCTTGCCATGTGACTGAGGATGGCCTTGAATTTTTGATCCTCTTACATCCACCTCCCTACCTGGGATTATAGGTATTTGCAGGTATGCCTCACCATGCCTGGTTTATGTGGTGCTGGGGACTGAACCCAGGGCTTTGTGCATACCAGAAACACACTTTAGCAACTAAGCTACTCCCTAGCCCCATTTAAGTATTTGTAGTGGAAAAAAACCACTCCAACCTAACCTTCTCACTAGAATGTAGACGGATCCATCTAATTTTTTCAGACAAGTCCAGTGAGGTAGGAGGTCAAGAAAATGACCTTTCGCCTGAGGTCTTTTACTTAAGGACTGGGCAGAGTAGAATGTTCAGGGTGGGGGAGAGAGGATGTGGAGGGGGGGAAAGGCCCCCAAAACAAATATTATCAACAAATAAGACAAAAGATTCAAGGTCATGCATTAGTAACACAGAATAAAGAGTTTTTGGAGGGAAAAGACTAAGAAAGGCCACAAAAAAAGTAGATTAATTATTTAAGGCCCTAGACTGTATAAGTTCTGTGTAGATATAAGGATGCAATGGATGTCACATTGCTGTTCCTATAGAGCTAACTCCCAAATCTTCACAAGCATCCAAGTTTACCTGCCACCAGAAAAGCATGTGGAAACCTCTCTCAATCTCATTTTTCTCAGTCTGTCCAATAACCTAATCTATCATTTTCTTGAAATATTATTATATTGTTTGGCCTTAACAATCTAATAGAATTTCTGAAAACCCATCTTCTCATCCTTATGTAACTTACCCATATCGATGGCGACCCACATCCCGGATAAGTCTCTCTGAGAGGTAGGCGCCAATGCGATCTAGCTTTTCTGGAGCTGAGAGGGCATAGAAAGTCAGCTTCTCCATGTTGGTCTTCACTAGACCATCCTGTGGAAGACAGACAGTTCAAAATCACCGTGGCCAGGCTATAGTGGAAAGGATCGAGTTTGAAGTAAAATTAATTCAATGGACTGACATTTATGGAGCATTCATTATGCATGTTCTGGGGCTCAGGGATATAGAGATGATGAAGAAGCATCCTTGTCCTCCAAGCATGCTAGCTATGAATAAATAGGAAGAGTGGCTGAAATAGGGGGCTGCAGCAATGCCTCAGTGGGTAAGGTGCTTGTTGTGCAAGCATGAGGATGAGTTAGGCTCTCCAGAACCCATGTAAAAGCTGGGCATGCCAGCACATACTCCTGGAGCCCAAGTTCTGAGTGAGAGGGGACCAGGCAGATCCCTGGGGCTCACTGGCCAGCCACTTTAGCCAAAACTTGAGCTGTAGGCTCAGTGAGAGACTCAGACTCAAAAATCAAGGTGGAGACTAATAGAGGAAGACACCCAAAGTCAACATTTGTCCTCTACACATGTATGCATCTCCACATATGCACACATAAACCATGCACATACACACACACACAAAGAATAGCAACAGAAATAGGTCTGTGTGTGGGGTTATACATCTGTGTGTACATGAATGTATATACATGTGGGTGTTCGTGCACATTCATACACAAGTTTATGGATGAATGAAAAGGCATCATTAAAAGTGACTTAGAATTGCTGGGCATGGTATTGCACACCTTTAATCCCAGAACATGGGAGGCAGAGGCAGGTGGATCTCTGTGAGATTGAGCCAGCTTGGTCTATATAGCAAGTTCCAGGCCAGTTTTGGCTACAGGGAGACCTATTTCAAACAAAACAAAACAAAATAAAACAAAGCAAAAAAGTGACTTAGAATTAAGGTGTGTGGATATTCACCACCAAGACATAAAGAAGGCAGTTCTTTAGCTCTTAGGGAATTCTCTGGAGGATGCTAGAAATGGGATATTCCAGCTGCCCATCCAGAAGAAGCCAGTGATGCTCAGATAGCAAGTCAAATACATCAAATACTGTCATCCTCAGACCATAATGTGTAATGCAGTGTGACAGAGTGACAGCTTGAAAGCCAAGAAGCCAGGCCTCCTGTGCATGTACCCAGATGTCTAACAGATGCCAGAGGGAGCCAGGGAAAGAGAGGCCCCTGAGCTAAAGTGCTAGACAGTGGTGCACCTCTACTAAATGGCAGGAAAACATTTCTATCAGGAAAGTAAGCAGCTGAGACAGGAGTGAAAGATGTGTCAATTGTACAACAATAGCCCAGCCCAGGCACAACATATTCCTAACAGCCTTCTGCACACCTAGCCTTCAGGGAGAGCCAAATGCTTCATCCTTTGTGTCCCCAAAGTCTCTCACCATTCCCAGGCTATAGGCCAGGAAGACCCACTCTTCAGAGACTTCCCCCACTCAGCAGCCTGCAGAGCCCCTGATATGACCCACCTCAGGATCCTCAGGGAAGATATTGTCCACCAGCCTTTTGTACCTGGGGCGAAGGGCACCACAGCAGCCACACACACCTAGAATGAGAACAGAAAACCCATGAGTGAAGCCTTCCAGCCAGGTTGCAGAGACGTGGGAGCCAGAGTTTGTGAGGAAAGAAGCCCAGGCTAAAACGCCAGGGCCTTGTTCTTTCCTGGGTCAAGGTCTCCTGCTACTTCCTACATGCCAAGACAGTGGCTTTTCACTTCATGTTGGGGATTGGGTGGCATGCAATGTGCAGGAAGGAAGCCAGGCCCCAGAGGAGCACTTGGATAAGCCTTATGGGTAGGAACTTCAGTAAAGGCCGGCTGCCAGTGTCACCCAATAGTTACACGGACACGGACACACACACGTACACACACACACACACACACACACACACACACACACACACACACACAAAGCATTTCGGGGCTAAGACTAAAATTGCCTTTGCAGCCCATGAGTCTAGAATGCCCTGGGAAGATGGGGGTTATGTGGAGGGGCGGCTGCTCTTCCTGACCCCCTCCCCCCGCACTGGCACCCAATTCCCTATGCCTGTCTCAGTCACCTTCCACTGTCCTTTCCTGTGCTACTCCCCACTGCAGAATGGTCTTGACACTAAGATAAATTAACAGGATCATCAACTATTAACATATGAAATGCACTTTTAAGGCTCTTGTCTGTGGTATTAGAATCTGCACCCGGGAGTTGGCTAATTCTCCATGCCAGTCCTTCCCCATTCCCTAGGCTTTTGCTGGTCGGTGGTCAGATGGAAAAACTAAGAACAATGTGGCAGGTTTTTACAAAGCTAATTTACTCCATCCAGGAGACCCAAATGACTTTGTTCATGATCTTTGGTGCTGGGAAATGATGCTGTTAGGAAATCAGCAATAAAATGAACTGTGGCAAAACAACTACAGGTCCAGCATTAGAAGTTTAATTAATCAAGGAAATGGAAACATCTGGAAACCATCCTTCTCAGGCAGGACCTTCCTCAGCTGCATGCCAGCTCCTTTGTGCTGTGTGGAGCGAAGGATGGAGGGGAGGAGGTGTCACAGAGGGGTCTTAGAGAGCCTGACAGGACCTGGGAAAGTCCACCCCTCAAAGAAAATAAGTGCCCCTTTCAAGCCGCCAATTAAAGATGCATTCTGTTTGCACAAGCGCTCTACTTGAAATTCGAGTGCTCACTGGGAAGATTAGGGGTCACCGAGAAAAGTATGAATTGCTTTAGTGGGAATTCCTTCACCACACAAAGAACTCTGCATAGGCCAGTGGGAGAAGCAGTGTGGGAGCTCTGGCTGGGAGCCAGAGGGGCACTGGGCCAGGAGGAAGAGAGAGCCATGATTTGAGCTTCAGGCTGATTTGGAAATGAGGAATGGACATGAACTTGAAGAAGCACAAGGCACTTAAGGGCAGGCATTAGGAACCCAATGTGTGAACCCCAGCCCTGCCACACAAGGATGCCTTGTGGCTCTTCAGTTCCCAGCAGCCTAAGCTCCTTTGGTGGCCAGACTTCCCCGGATTTGTCCTGGCCTCTTCTTATCTCCTCCCTGCTCCCACCTGGGAGAAGGCTGTGGGTGGATGGTACCCAGGATTATTTTTTACGATGGTACTGCTCCCAAGGGACACATTCCCTCTTGGGCCTCAAAGCCCAGGGGATCTCACTACAATGTAATTTTTAGAAATATTTTTTGTTTATTATTTTATGAATGTATTGCCTGCATGTGTGTTAAATGCACCCATGTTGTGCAATGCCTGTGGAGGTCAGAAGAGGGTGTTCGATGCCCTGGAACTGGGGTTATGGATGGTTGTTAGATGCCATGTGGGTGCTGGGAATCAAACTCAGGTCCTCTGCAAGAGCAGTCAGTGCTCTTTAACTGCCAAGTCATCTCTCCAGCCCCTACAATGTGATTTTGATTCAAGAGCTTGGGATAGAGTCCAAGACTCTGCATTTCCACTCATCACTAGCAATTCTGATGCTTCAGTCAGCCAGGCTTGGAGTCTGAAAAGCAGCTGAGCATACTGGCTCAAGAATTTATGGTTAAGGAATTTAGACTCAGGAGTCAGAAAGACCTGAACTGAAACCCCAGCTCTTATTTCTTACTGTATGACCTTGAGTGAATAATTTAACCTAAATCCACCTCTCCCCCCATTTTGTGTGTGTGTGTGTGTATGTGTGTGTGTGTGTGTGTATGTGTGTGTGTGTAGTAATGGATCCTGCCTAGGGGACTCCATGAGACATGGCATTGTTCTTTCTTCCTCAAGCCCCTAGAAGAAAAGACACAAAGACTAAGCAGGAGCCAGACTGAGGACCACTGTGCATGGGCTGCAGAATCTAGATCTCTCTATAATTAACAAGGAGCCCTAAGAGCCATCTGAGCAATGGGTGACAGTTAAGATTCACCCAGATGTGGCATGCAGGATGGCACAAGGAGATGTGTGTATGAGCCACCCAAGGCTGAATGGCTTAGCAAGATGGGACGATGAGACAGGGTGGGTAGAGTTCAGCAAGACTTGAGTGGCCCCAGGAGCAAGAGGAAGAAGTGGGAATGGGGAATGCTGGTAGAAGCATGATACCCAGATGCCACGGAACCCACAGAACTGTAGAAGGTAGTGGTAGCTGGTGGGGGGGCAACTAGAGGGGCCCCCACCAGTGAGGCTGTGCTGTGATGCACTGCAGGAGAGGCGCTAACTGCTGGGGGTGGATGGGGAGGGAGAGACAAAAGGCAAATACTTAGAAGATGACTTTATCCCCACTTTGCCATTTTCCCCCAGTTTCTCTTCTACCAATTTTCTATAAAGCATGCCACATTTCTTTCCCTTATTTATTTTCCTGCCTCTTCCCAAAGGTCCTCCACACCCAGACATTGGAGCCTTTAGGGGGCTAACACTGGTCTAAGATAGATCTCATTAGCAGCCCCTGAAAAACCAAAATCCTATCTCAGTGATCTAATTATCTAATTTACAAGCAGCTGATCACTGAGACAGTCTTCCTGAGAGTACCTGCACTTGTTGTCATTTTGTTTTGCTTTAAAACCTGAAAGCCAAATGAAATAATCCCTAACTGTAGAACCTTCCAGCCATTTGGGTGTCAGGGTATTTATATGAGAAAATAAGTTTACAGGTGTCTACAAACTGTAGTGTTATGTTAGGCCCTGGAGTCTTGCTTGTTTTTAAACCTTAACAGGACTTTCAGAAAAATAAGGCAGGTAGGCAAAATGAATAGTCTGGCTTAGGAAGGGAAAAAAGTATAGGAAAATATAGATTTGTCCATTATAAGCAGCTCACCACATGGATAAGTGTGAAGCCAGATAGTTGTATTCCAGCAGAGGGAAGAAACGGAAGAGTCACCAGACATGGAGCCCAGGGCTGTATCGCTTCACCATCTTACCTGCTTCCTTTTATAAAGTGACCAATTGTATAGCTAGAGAGATTGTTCTGGAATCTCAGCAACAGGGCAGTAAACCCTAAGCAACATCTATACTTCCTGGGCAGGTAATACAAGCCCAACTTAGAGATAAAAATTCTTTCTCAGATAAGGCAAAGAACTGGGGAGGGTTGGGCTGAGGCCTGGCCTCTGGGAGCCAGAGTAGGTGCAAGAGGTGCTGGGAACCCCGGGAACCCACAAGTGCCCCCACAGAGCTTCCTCTTCCACTCAGACCAGGTGAATTTAAAGGAACCACAACCCATGCAGGAAAAACCAAAGAAGACAGTAAGATACAACTGAAGGAGGCTGGAAAAATGGCCCAGTGGTTAAGAGCACTGGATGCTCTCACAGACCTGGGTTTGATTCCCAGCACTCACATAGCAGCTAACAACCATTTGTAACTCCAGTTCCCTGGGAATCTGATTCCTTCTTCTGACCTCTGCAGGCTTTGCACCACATGGGTGCACTTACACACATGCAGGCAATACACTCATAAAAAAATTAAAATAATAAATAAAAAAATTTTTTTAAAGAGGAAACTGAAAACAGTTCGTTAGAATGAGAATTCAATAGGCTTGTATATATTTCTTTAATCTTGCCCCTGAGGGCATTGATTCTTAATATTAGTACATAGAAGCAGGTGGAGATTAACTCACAGTCACATGCCTATAAAGTACCTTTTAATTCTGAGCCATTTTATTTCAAAGAGTGAAGCGCTCTCCACCAGGGTAGTCTCTCACTCTCTGGGGATTGTGTCTAATGGATCCAGCTTCAGGACATCAAAGGTAAATTTCTGAAGGATGCTTTTATGTCACTAAGACCTCTTTCACCTATTTTTTTATACCTATCTTAAGGAAAAAGAAGGAAAAGCAATCTGGCCAATGTACCTGGTATGTAGCAGCTCTGGATACCGAAAAGACAAATGATCAATGGAATGTCCAGTGACAAGACTTCAATGGCATCCATCCAACAACTTGAAAACTAAGCTTAGTCAAACTTGCCCTAGTCCCCACCCCTTTTTCTCCCCTAGGGCTCATCTGTCCCAGCTGCAGGGATTCCTCACAGGGCATTTGCATTGAAGAGCTTCCCTTCCACAATGTTCTCTTCACTGTCTATGGGGTTCTGTGGGCATTTCTCAAGGGTGTCTACCCACAGGTTGCCTAGCTAGAAGAACTTCTCTGGTCACCACCCCCTTTTAGCTTTATGTACCAATTCATTCCTTTACATAGTACTTTCCCCAAAATGACTTCTGTCTGTGTCTACTTTACATTCTCTGCAGGTAAGCTAGCTCCCTGAGAGCAGGGATAGTCCCTGCTCCAGCCCAGGACCAAGCAGGACGTTTGGTAGAGGAAAAGTCAACTGTGATTGAACTTGCAAACCAATAAGGACACATTAAGGCACTCAGCAGCAGCTCCACACAAGCCTGCTTTGGCCTAGCAGGACCTGGGAAGGTTCTTGGCCTTGAATCCCATAGGGCTGCTACCATCAGCTCTCCAGGTCCAGCTCACAGCTCATGGCTCTAGGGTCCCATCTCTCTCCAGGACAAGGTCTTTGAGACAGACGTGGTAGACATGGGTAACCAGGGGTCAGGGTTTTCCTGCCTCCCCATGCCACATCCTGGCCTCCCCC